CCGGCAGCAGCAAGATGGTAGTCTAGTCCAGGGTTCACTGTCGTCCCCCTGGCTCCATCAGACCCTGGGAAAAACAGAAGGGCCTGGGCGCACCCTCTATCCAGAGCCAGTCAGGCCTTGTCTTGCAGGAGGGGGAGCATACTCTGGACCAGGGACAAATACATGCCGTTGCCTCAACTTTGGCCAGAAAACACACGTCCAGGAACCAAGCATGAAGGTGAGCAGAGGGTCGATCTCTGTTACACCTAAAGAACTTCTCAAAAAATTTCTTCTAGTCCTCAGTGTTCTCAGGGTACCTGGGGAGGGACTTGTCTTCCAGAGGGCCTGGTAATAGTTCCTTCACCCTGGAAGCCAAGAACACTACCTGGCTTTTCCTGCCTCCTTATGCTGGGGGTGGGGGGAAGGGGCGCAGGAAGAAAAGAAGCTTTTGTGTTAGCAGAAGAGTGTGTGATTAAGCCTGTCATTTACTTCACCTCTGTGCCTCAGTTTCCTCATCTGTAAAATAGGTGTGAACACCTAAATGGTGCCTGGCGCATCATAGGCACTCCCTAAACGCTCACCATAATTACTATTATTATGTTATTTGCCAGTCTATTAACAGGATACAGAGTTGCCAGTAAGTAGTAGGCACTGGAAGGTATAGGGGTTCAGCCCAAGGATCCCCTGGGACTCTTGTACTCCAGTGTCTGGTAGTGAAGGTTCACGGACAGCCACTGCATCCTACACAGAAAGGACGACCCCCACCCTGAGTCCAGACCTTTGGAGATGGAGGTCAGCATTGCCCCAACAGGGAAAGGTCTCGACCTAGCTGAAGGTGATAGGTTCAAGGGTCTGCCATGAAGTGCCTCCTGTCATCCAGCTCCACCCACCAACTCCTGACTTGTCGGCAGGACTTCAGCCCTGAGTCTTCCTCTCCAGCCCCAAGTCCATCCTCATCCAGGATCCTGTGTCCATGATGGTGGCCCATGTGCTGGGCCTTCCAGTCCCCCACCTTCTCCTCCAGCCTACTTCTGCCTGCACCTCCCACAACTTCGGGTCCCTGGGCCCAGGGAGGTTCCAGGGGTGGCCTCCTTCCTCCAGAGCAATTGCTTCATGACCGGCCCTGCTGCTCCTCCACTCACCGCCACCGCGTCCCCAGCACTCTCCACCTGGAGCCACCTTCACTTTCTCCGTTTCTGGAATCTGTCATGCTCCCCTCTTCCATGTGCCTCTGTGTGTGCTGGGTCTGCCTGCTCTCTGAAACACCCACCCTGCCTTCCCCTGGCTCTCTCCAGTCTGCCCTACGAGTCACTACTGTGTGAATTAGAGGACCCTCTCCAGGTCCCAGTCGTCTTTGCTATTCTGGCTACCCCACAGTGTGTTCTCACCTCCCCTCTCAGCACCTTGAAGGACACACCTGTCCCAGCAGCCCCCAGTACCTGCAAAGTGCCTGGCACCTCACAGACCCCTGAAGGAGTCAATGAGTCTAGCCTTTTCTCTTCTCCTCGTGTAGCCAGGGCTCAGTGGGGGCTGCCCATGGACGTGCACAACACAAACTCGCAAACTAAAAAACAGTGAGGATTGAGAGAGGCTTCCTTTGTTAAAAGACAGCAAACTGTTAGATTTCAAAAATAACTTAAGACGGAATTTCTTTTTTATTCTCAAGCAAGCAGCCAGACATTGCCAAATCTATTTAGAAGGTTCACCAAGAGGCTGCTAATCCCAGCCTGGTGGTCCTGTAACCAGCATGAGACTTCATCTGGGGGTACGCGACCTAGGGACCCCTGACTCTAGGGGCTACTGGTCAAGGTCAGGGCTCTTCTGAGATGGGGAGAGGGCTCTCTGGGGTCCACAGAGGAGGCTAGCCTCCACTCCTGCTCGCCTCAGTCCCTGGGACCTGCCCTGAGCCTATCAGTGCCCCATCCATGCCGCCTGCTTGTAGGGACTCGTTTTAATTAATGCCAGAGCTGGGCCAACCACTGGGGCCGTGACACTTGTTTGCAGGTCATCTCCTCCTAACAGGCTCACCCTGGGAGGGGATTTGTCTCTAATTGAAGCAGAGATCAGTTAATGAGGCTGCGGGACCTGGGGTTCCAGAGAACAAGGGAAAGGAAAATAAAATAAAGCCCCTTTCTTCAGAGGTTTTGTGATTTACACACACAAAAGAAAAGCAAGCAAGCTGCAAATTTTCCAAGTCAGAAACTCCGCTCCATCTGCCAGCGTTAGACCCTCACTGCGTGCAGACGTCAGGCGGAGGGACGCTGCCACAGCTAAGACTCATGGATGGGAGAGGAGAGGGGCCCCTGGGGCCAGCAATCAATCAGCAACCTAATTAAGAAGTATTTATGGAGCTGTGCTCTGTGCTCCCCTCTGTGGGGGGAGAAGCCACGAGCCCTGTCCCTGGTTAACTTGCAATCCAGCTGGGGACAAAGCTCAGACTCTGGAACACTTAGAGCATGGGGACATGGTGTAACTGAGTGTGAGTGTGAAGGACAGGAATTTCCAGGCCTTGAGGGGAGGAAGAAAGGTGTGGGCGGGAGTGGCCAGGGAAAGCCTCTTCAAGGAGGTGCTGGAGCTGGGTAGGAAGGAGGAAGGAGGGGGTCCCCAGCACAGGCATAGCCCTGTGTGAAGCCCTCGCCTCTGCTGAGTGAGACTCTAGCTCTGGGAGCCTCAGAGGCCCCCAGGTCCTCCAATAACTCTGCTGGGGCTGGCCTTCAGAACTCCCACCCCACACACCTGCACTAGGTTTGTTCTAGCAAGTGTCTGGGATGGAATGGCTGATGGCCCCTTAGGTGGGACCCTGAGGAATGGGAACACAGAGAACCTGAAATTCTCAGGAGAAGATAAACATCTTTTCTCAGATCCCCAGGCCCTCAGAGGAAGGAAGATCCTCTGGGACGACTCCCTTCACTCAGGCCCTTTCCATTCAGGGTCACTCAGTATCCCAACGTGGCCTCCTCCTCCCACCTACCTCCTCCCCTCCTTGCCCCTGAGGCTCAAAGAAGGAAAGGGGGTTTTCAAGCTGCTGAGGGAGGCAGATCGTCAGCTCCTCTTAGGAAGGAGGAAGAGGCGGGAGAGCACTTTCCCCAGTTCAGGAGAGCTCCTGGCTTTAGCCCAGCAAGTCCCCAGAATCAGGGACCCTCAGTTTGTACGACTCCCAAAGACCTCTCCAGCTGGGGGGCAGGATGAGGAGGGTGGGGTTTGCAGGCTCCTGGCGTGCCACCCAAACAGATCTGCGATGTCTGGCTTCTTGCTTTCGTTAAGACAGAAGGATTTAGGGAAGGAAGATCTTGGGCATGAGATGGGACATCCCACTTCACAGCTATTTGGAGATGACTTGGTCTATGTGGGAGTAAAATAAATGAGGCCATTTCAGGACAACCCCAAAACCCTCCTTCAGGAAAAAAGTGAAATAAATTATGTACATGGTACATGGGCCATTCCATAGTTGTGAACAATTATTATGCAGTATTTGCTTAATGACACTAAAAAGACAAGGACAGTGGGTTTTACCAAATTATTGTTACATGTAAATGCTTTCATTATATGTGAATGTTTCTCTTTCTTTTACAGATGGAGTCTCACTATGCTGCCCAGGCTGGACTTGAACTCCTGGGCTTAAGCCTTCCTCCTGTCTCAGCCCCCAAGTAGCTGGGATTACAAGGGTGCACCACCACACCTGCATGAATATTTTGGGGGTTTGTTTTTTTTTGAGTTGGGTCTCACCCATGTTGTCCAGCCTGGAGTGCAGTGGTTATCCACAGGTGCAATCATGGCTCACTATAGCTTCAAACTCCTGGACTCAAGGGATCCTCCCACCTCAGTCTCCTGAGCAGCTAGGACTATGTGAATTTTTTTTTTTTTTTTTTTTGAGTTGGAGTTTCACTCTTGTCACCCAGGCTGGAGTGCAGTGGCATGCTCACAGCCACCACAGATTCGACCTGCTGGGCTTAGGCAATCCTACTGCCTCAGCCTTTCAAGTAGCTGGAACTACAGACGCATGCCACCATGCCCAGTTTTTTTTTTGTGATTTATTGTAGGTCTCACACCAAGTTGCCCAGGCTGGTCTCAAACCCCTGGGCTCAGGGCAATCCTCTCGCCTCGGCCTCCCAACGTGCTGGGATGACAGGTTGAGCCACTGTGCCCAGCCTGTGAATGTTTTTTGATTTGCCTTTTCTAATTATTTTTTCTTACCAATTACAATGAGTTATTGTTTAATGAATGGAACGACAGTGTTGTGAAGGGATCCTTTGCCCTCTGGAGGTGACGATAGGAGGCCACCCAGGGGAGATCTGAGAGTACCAGACGTAGGCACAGGGCTGGGATCCAGGGTGGAACAAGCGTGGGGAAGGTCCTGGCAGCCCGGCATTCGTCTGCCTCTGGGCCAGGGCCCCGCTGCCTTCTGCCTTCATTTGGGAAACAGGGACCTACTGTCCATCCTACACTCATAGTCAGTCTATCAACCTCCCCTATGGAGCTCTCGTCTCAAAGTCCTGTGGAGCCTCAAGGTGAGTGTTGAGAAGGTGACAGGTCTTCAGGAGGGACTGGACATGCGGCCATATGACTGTGGTCACAGAGAGGGAACAACAGCGTCCCAGGAGCTCAGCAAAGAGCGCAGGGGAGCCAGCATAGCCAACGTTGCAGGACCATTCCCGTGCCCCTCCCCTCAACTGTGTTACTGAGCATGAAGACCCCCCCCAGAAGAGTGCTAACTAGCCCCAGGCCCCTTCAGGACAGACATCCTGACCTGGTGCCCATGGGCACTGCTTCACCCCGTCTGCTCTCTAAAACATGGAGCACCAGTTTGGGCATCAAACTGGGCCTTCATGTCTATGGAGGGTAGCTGCCCAATATGTCTCCATAAAAGTCTCTTCTCTGCTAGAAAGCCTGCCCTGACAGCCCACCCACAGAAACCTGTCTCCCACACCCCTGCCTGGCCCTGGCCCTTGGACAAGGGTCTCCCTGCAATGCTGAGTGGGGTGGTCGCAGATCAGCTGGACCGAGAGGAAGGGAGTACTCACAGCAATGGAGACAGCGCTGATGACAGCTCCCAAATAGCCTTGGATGAACTTGGATGCAGGTGAAGGCTAGAAGACAGAGGCAGAATTTCAGGCCTGCTAGTGCCCAAAGCTCCCATACTCCCCCTTGCGAACGGTCCCATCCAGCAAGAAGCGTCCTGCCCACCAGCCTGAAAGGACAGATGAGCAGGAAGGGGTCCCTCAGGAAGCCAGATAGATCCGGGCCACCCTCAACTCAGTTCCGGATGCGGAAACACAAGGCACTAATATCCAGGGAGACGCCGAAGGGCCCACGCCACTTCTGCGCTGTACGAGAAAGGCCACTGGCAGACAGCGCTGGTTGGAGGTGGAGGACAGCAAGGGCCAACATGGTCCTTCAGGGTTTGGCCTTCCAGTTTAGGAAGGTTCCACGCTGCAAGGAGGCTGTGTGGCACCTGCAGCGCTTTCTAGGTGGAAATGCCAGTGTCCACTCTGGCTCCACTCTGACTGGCTCTCACGGGCCTTGTCCACCCATGCCGCGACTGGGTCTCCATGTCCATAGAGGGTAGTTGCCCAATATTTCTATTGGAAAATATCTCCCAAGTAGCAACATAAGAAGAAGCTAAGAAACTTGTCCTTCACTACAATTGCAGGTTTTGACATGTTTGGTTGAAAATAAATGGGACCATCCAAGCAGATGTACAATGTTAAGCTCTGAGACAGACCTGGGCTGCAGGTTTAGACGGGAGCATCCTCAGCGCATCAGGCCCTCAAGATTCCAGGCAGGTCAGCTCTGAACCCCTCTCCTCTCCCCCAAGGTTAGTAAATGCCAAAGCCCTTTCCTACCCCAAATGACAGCCCTCCAAAGGGGACCTAAACACCTCCTCCCCTCCCTTTGCCTTTGGACAGAAGTGGGAGAACTCCAAGAAGAGGGAGAGATGGCCTGGCCAGCAAAGCCCAGCCTGACAGAAGGGCGATGGGGCCTCCCCCATGAGCTTGTCCCAGGAGTGCAGGGGACTCTGGGGAGGACCCTCACCCCTCAGGAGCAATCCTTCAACTTTGTGGACAGCAGCCAGGGTCAGGGGAAACTGAGGCAGCTTCCAGCAAGCTTGGAGGAAGCTTTAGGGGAATTTGTCCCCCGAGAGGCTGACACTGTCCTGATCCAAGATCCAGGTGTAAGAGCTTCTGAGGCCCTTGCACTATCCCTAGCACACCCCCATTTAAAGACCTTCTTCACTTCTTGTAAACAGCCCCTCCCCAGAGGGACCCCAGCCCAGAGAATCCTGCCACCCGCAGCCAAGAAAAGTCTGAGTCTGCCACCCTACCTGAAGGGTTGGCAGTTTAAGTAAGGTACCTGGAGGAGGGCAATGCTTAACCTAGAGGCAGCCATCAATGGCGACATGGCACTCTGTAGGGAGGATGACTGGGTCACCCCATTCTGTACCCCATCATGGGCAGAGGGCAGTGACGCTCACCTTGGTAGCATTGCGGTTTGCATAGTTGACACAGGCATTGTGGCTCTGGTTCAGCCACTGAAAAGCAACGGGAAAGAAGTTCAGGGAAGGAATGGACACCTCCCTGGGAGCCAGGCCTGAGCCCCGGGAGGCCACACACACCCCCAGAAAGACACGGCATGTGGTCTCCAGCTCACGGAAGATTCTGTCCATGGGTAGCATGACCAACCACCTGGTTTGCTCGGGACTGTGCTGGTGTTGACACCAAGCATCTCAAATCTCAGAAAACCTCTCAGTTCCCGGCAAACCGCGATATGGTCCTGCCCACCTCAGCAGTCCCCCGGATCCAGACAGTCACCGCTCCTGGAATTATGACATTCACTGCCCCAACAGGGCCCACTGCCTTTGTCATCCTCATTCTAATTACTTGCTGGACAGAAGGCGGCCAGCAAGGCCCCTGGAACAATTGACAGCCCTGCACTTAAAAAAAATTTCCCAGCCCAGTGTCCTGCACCACCACCTCCAGCGCCAGACACAGAGGCCATCAGGAATTTAGTCGCAGGAAGACTCTCTGACATTTTCTCCCAGAAGACAGGCTTTTCTTCCTGCCCCTCTCTCTCTGCACAGACACCCAGGGTCTGTGATGCACTTCACTACCTCGGAGTTAGGAGTGGATTTACCTTCCCCTGCAGATTTGGATGAGGCTGATGTCAAAATGAGGCTGCAGGCCTCTGTGTCACTGACCATGCCAAGGGGGAGAGTGGGCAGCCACCAACAAGCCATTGTGTTCCAGGCGAGGAACTTCTGTCCAAAGGTTAGAGTGACACACTGGGCTGCTGGGGACCTGCTCAGTAGAGCCCAAGTCCTGTTTTTTCTCCAGTGGATTCCGGGCTGGGGGAGGAGTGGGGGACATGGCCTGGATGGGGCAGGGGACACTAGGGCAGGGAGTTCTTAGCCAGCACTTGTGTGGGTCCTTCCTTCAGGAGTCCTGTTTACTTGAAGACTGTTACCTGCCAGAAGACAGTGGATGCCAGCGTCTGGTTGGGCAGAAGAAGACCGACTACCTAGGAGCAAGAGAAAGGAGTCACTGGAAAAGGCAAGAGAGACATCCTATACTTTCACAAAGAAAATGACACTGCCATAAACAAGTGAGCTGGGTCTGCACGGACTGATGAGGTACGACATGTACACACACACTGAGGCCCACAGGGAGAGGGTGTGCGATGGAAAGGAGTCAAGCCGCAGAGTTATATGACAGCATAATCCCAGTTATGTCTAGAAAAAAATCTTATATAACCACATCCACAAACGCGTGTATACGCACATTGCCCCAAGCATGAAAAGTCTGTGGCTGTCTCTGCAGGTCAGGCTACAGGCTACTTCCTCACATTCTTCTTAGGTATTTCTGTTTTCTTTTTAACAACAGACATGCATTATTTCCACAATGGGGGGAGATAATAAAAAACAAAAGGAATATCTTCACTTCCACTCAGGTAACCTGACTCCTTCTAGCCTACATCCCATGGGATTTTTGTGAGGATTAAATAAAAATCATGTCAAAGGCTTTCCGTGCTTGGTAAATACAAGGGAAAATTTGTGTCTGTTATCTGTGGATTTCCATGAAGTAAAGACCTACACCATATTTTGGCTACTGAATGAAATATAGATGTCCGATAAACATCGGTTGAATGAGTAGAGGCATAAAGGAAGGAACAAACACACATGTGGCTAAGTGTGGTTACATAGGTGTGGATCCATTATCCCCAAAGCCCAGATATCACCTAAGACCTAGACTCACTGACTTTTTCTTTGGTCAAGATTAATGGCCAAACCTTGGACTTCCGGGATCCACGTGCGCCTCTCAAGTTTACCTTTTGAGTATTTGTGTGCAAAATAACATCTACCAAGTACTGCTGCATATGGGGAAAATGTGCACAACCATCCACATATTGACTTATTTATTATTCCTGTAGATAAAATGGCTCTTTGGCAAGAATTTCTGTAAGGAACAAGTATAAACATTCAATAATATGCAGTAAATCAAATTCTAGACATCCTCAGCAGCATTAGTAAATCATGTTTTAAACATTAAAATGTTTTAAAACAGTGAACACGCACACACATCTATATTTATTGGCCCATATCAGTTTGAATAAAATTATATAAGTAAAGCTATTCCATGGCTCCAATGAGGAATTATGAGTTTTCTCTCCCAGAATGAGATCCCAGTTTGACTTTCCTTTGCAGCGACAGCTTGGGGAACTGGTGTGAAAATCAGGAGACCCTGGGTCTTAGCCTCAGCTCTGTCCCCATGTGACCACTGGTAGAAGGGGATCCTCTTTGGGGCTCTAGCTTTCTTACCTATAAAGTGAAGGGGGTGACCCAGGAGGTGCTATCACAGTTTAACATCCTATTCTCAGGTTCTAGGTAGTAGGTGTGAAGTCAACAGAGATAGCCCCATAGTCTGTAATGAGATCCCACATGCTGAGGAGTATCCCAGGGGACTCAGGACCTCCTCCTAGCGGGGGTCCCCAACAGAAGACGGACCTTAGAGAGGAAGTTGAGTCTATAGAGGGGTAGGGTGGGGCAGGGGATGGGCACACACATGTGTGTGTACACCTGTGCATGTCTGCTTGCTTCCACAGCCTGAGGAAGTTAGACATGTTCACTGTTGGGAGCTTAGCATATTATCCCCCCTAATCTGTAGTTTCCTGAATGTGGTGCCTCATGGACAACACTATCTTCTGTCCTGAAACCCCACTTGCCCCTGAACCATGCTCGGGCCACCAGAACATCATAAGATACAGCTCTATGGGACTCATCACATTTACCAGATAGCTGCTGTTCAGGACACTGTGCATTACATCACAGGGTCCTCTTTATAAGTCTTCTTGGCGGACATATTTTCTGGTCTCGGGAAGAGAAACTGTGTTTTTGAGTGACTGGTCTGCATGTGTCTTGCAGACTGGGCCATTTGACTGTGTCTCTTTGTGCTGATGGTCAAGAAGCTCAGGCCAACTCCCCACGCATACGACTGCCAAGTGTACAGACCCACATTGCACATATTCTGTGTCCAACCTCACTCCTGGCTTCATTTTATCTCATCCTCCCTTCCTTAACTTTCCTTTTGTCTTATTTTCATCTTCACTTATCTTTTGTGGCATGCATTTTAAAAAGTGACGTTGTCTTTTCCAAAACAAACTAGAACCCTACCCAGGTTATCACACACACACACACACACACACACACACACACACACACACACACACACACACACGTTGCCAATGGTTCTGTGACCAGTGAACTTTTTTGCTTTGTTGGACAAGCCCACCTCCTGTCCCAACCTCCTGCCCTCACGCCAGCCTGATGTCCAGGTCAGCCCCTCTGTTATAACAAGCCTCCTCAAGCTTTCTTAAAGAGATGAATTGATTGATTTGTCATATATCACTTACCATAATCTTCATCATAACTGTAGGGATCAGACAAAACGGAGATTACGTCCTATGTTTTTGCAAATGGGGAAACTAAGGCATAGAGAAATTCAGTGATCTGTCCATGCCTTTATAGCAAGCTAGAGAAGAGTTAGGTCTCCTGATTCCTGGCTTGGGGGCCCTGGCTCTTTTAGGGTACTCCTTTTCCAGCTCAACCCCCGGTACAAAGGAAGAGTGGATTCGGTCAACACTCCACGCCTACTTATAGAGCATTTTCTATGTACCAAGTTCCATGCTGTTCCCAATGGGGAATACTGGAGGAGGAGAATATATATATATGGTCCTTAACCACAGTAAACACAAAGGCCAAAACAAGAAAATGTATGATAACGTCCTTTATAACACTGAGGCACGAAAATGACTAGATGGTTTAATGAGGTGCTTGGTGTATTCAAAGCTGGTAAATTCCAACACCCAAACAGGAGCTAAGGAAGGGAGAGGTCAGTGTGCCCTGGCTCTCTGCTGAAGGAGAAGGTAGGATGGAGCTGAGGAGGGTGTGTGTACACGGAGCAGGGAGAGGGGACAGAAGAGACTGGCCTGACTGAAGAGGTTTGGGTAACCAGAAGGGAGTCTGGAGAGAGTGGGATTAGCAGACAGGAAACAGCAAACTGCCTTGGCCAAACGGAGCCCTAGGGAGCCATTAGAGCCTGAGGCAAGGGAGCAGGGACCCTGCCCTCTAGGTCCTATTGTCAGGCGGGGACCAGAAGCAAGAGAATGCCAGCCCCATTCCCTATTAGGCAAAATGCAGCACCATCTGCACAATCCCAGGAGCAAGAGCAGATATTTTATAACTTCCTTTTTTCTTTTTAAGTCTAAATTAAAAATAAATGTTCCCTTCAGCTCTCAGATGTATATCTCTGGTGCAACCTGCCCACATTCCCTCCCGCTGCCCTTTCCAGAACATGGCAGGGGAAAGGAAGAAAGAGATGGATAGAGAGAGGGAGCCAGTCCACCCAGCTTCCATGCCAGTGGATTGCACCTCTTCCAAGAGGGAAACGATTCAGGCGTGGCCACGCAGACGGGTGGAGAGAGCCCAGAATGTGGCTGGTACCGAGGAAAGTGGAAGGAGAGGGAAACAGGAGCCAGCAGCTAGGATTTCTAGCCCAGCCTCCACCCTATCTTGCTGCAGGACCTTGGCCAAATCGCACATCCTATCTTTGCTCCCATTTATAGTTCGTAACATGGCTGAAGTCCCCCTGCAGCTCCGGCCCCAGCAGCTGTTGTCTCTGCACAGTCGTCTTCACCTTGCCACTCCCCTCCCCCGCGGGGGTCCAGCCAGAGACCTGGTGATGAACACTCCGGCTCTGGTCATCAAATGCTGGTGCCAATATTTACCAGCTGTGTGATCACAGTCATGTTACTTGAGCTCTTTGTGCCTCTGTGTCTTCATCTGTTAAGCAGGGCACAATCCTGGTACCTCTCAGGATGGAACGAACTGGGCTCCAGGACATGCAGCAAGCGCTCACTTGATGCTGGTAGGTAGTGTCATTCCTCCGCTCCCATCCAGTTCTTTTCCAGCCTTTGCTGGTCTCTTTATCTGATCTCCACAGTCTACAATACGCGACCAAGTAGCATTTCATCTCCATCTCATTTTTGAACACAAATCTTATTCCTCAGAGAACAGACCTCCTGGCTTTTTTTGTTTGGTTGGGTTTTTTTTTTTTTGGTTTTTGGTTTTTTGTTCTGAGTTGGAGTCTCACTCTGTCGCCCAGGCTGGAGTGCAGTGGCACACTCACGGCCACCCCAGCATCGACCTGCTGGGCTCTAGTCATCCTTCCACCTCAGCCTTCCAAGTAGCTGTAACTACAGGCTTGTGCTATCATGCCCAGCTAATTTTTGATTTATTGTAGAGATGAGGACTCGCCAAGTTGCCTGGGCTGGTCTTGACCCACGGGCTCAGGCAATCCACTTGCCGCGGCCTCCCAAAGTGCTGGGGTTACTGGCTGGGCCACTGGGCCTGGTCAGTTGGTTTTTAGAGACAGGGTCTGACTCTGTTGCCCAGACTGGAGTGCAGTGGCACAATCATAGCTCCCTGTAGCCTCAAACTCCCGGCCTCAAGGTATGAGCTACTGTGTTTGGTCAAATAGAGTTCCTCAAGGTAAAATTGAGGCTCTTCTCTCTTCTTCTTGATGTCTTCACAACATTCAGCACAAAGCTGGGCCCATGGTTTAGGCTTGAAGAATGTTGCTAATTCATTAAGAACATTAAATAGGCAGGGCGTGGTGGCTTGCACCTGTAATCCTAGCACTTTAGGAGGGTGAAGTGAGAGGATTGCTTGAGCCCGGGAGTTCCAGACCAGTCTGGACAACAGAGCTAGACCTCGCCTCTACAAAAAAAAAATGTTTAAAAAAATTAGCCAGCCATGGTGGCCTGTGCCTGTAGTCCCAGTTACTTGGGAAGCTGAAGCAGAAGGACTGCCTGAGCCCAGGAGATAGAGACTACAGTGAGCTGTGATCATGCCTTGCACTCCTGGGCAACAGAGTGAGACCCCGACTCAAAACAAACAAACAAAAACAAAAAACCTCAGAGCATTAAATAATTCTTAGCCATAGAAAAGATCTCTGCTGGACTGT